AAAAAAAAAAAAAACGATAACGATCATTGTTGTACCAAAAATGGGTTGAGTGTTTTCTGTACCACAATACGAAGAGTTAAGTCATTGAGGAATTTGTTGTATTTGTGAAAGAGATACTGCTCTCAACAGCCTTTTCCCTGAGAATGTATAGGGCACGCGGCGGTGTGGTCTGGTGGCACTTCTTCCCACAAAACTCGTAGTGTTTCCTGTAACGAATATAGCACATGTTTGTTGGGTGTTTTGCATCTTCTCTTCATGTGTTGCTTTTGTTCATGGGGCTCTACAGAAGGTTGTGCGCGTGCAATATACGCCCTCTTCTCTTCTTTTTCTGTTTGTTGTGTATGCAGGGCATTGCAATACCACGCGTGGAGTAATGTAAACCGTATAGTATTGAATAGCTCTCGAACTTCCTGTTCAACATCATCACTGCCTCGTGAAGTGGATCGCCACCCGTACAATTTTTTGGATCGCAGACCTAACTGTAGTTCATTCTCCACTGCCAACAGAGCTTTCTCTCTTGATTGTGGATCCGTGAAGGTTTCAAAAGCTGCGGGGCCGAGGGGCAAGCGGATGAAAGCAAATCGACGTCCTTGAGACGTTTCAGCGCCCGCATTCCTGGCAATCCATGCTGTCGCGACGCTCCAAGGAATTCCAGTGCACGACGCTAGCCAGTTTAGTATCATGGGTGGAAGTACAGCATTCGTCTCACAGTTTTCAAGTGACCTACTGAGGTTTCGGACTGCACTGAGAACCTTTTCCGTGAGCTCTTTCTGCACTTCGGAAGCCACGGTATAGTGCGGCAAGTCCTCCCACTGCACCAGCGCCCGCATTGCCCAGAAAAGCCACACTACAAGTGTCTCCTCTTCAAACAGGGTCGGAGGCACCTCCGATAGTAACTTTAACCACTGTAGGGCCGTTTCAGATTCTCTTCCCTTACGTGAGTTGTCACTTTCGTCAAGGCCAAGTCGCGCCACTGCTTTGAAAAATGTATTAACGACATGTGGCATACTGCAATTTGATCGTATAACAGAAATCTCCTCTCCTGAAGCCTCAGTGTGGTGCTTAGGTGGTCCCGGTTCTTCCTTCTCAAGCGCATGGATAACCTGACGAAGCAAGACCGCTGCATCCCCAGGGCGGTGGTCCTCCGTGATCCACATTTGCATCACCTGGGCTAGCAACAGTGGAATTCCCTCCTCTGGAGGCAAAACTGTACTATTATGTACTGTCCCATGAACCATCGTGCAAAGTAGGGCATCCACAACATATGCATACCGCGGTTCACCCACACGGCGTAGGAGACCGGAGACAAATCGTGCTTTTTGACTCACAGAGAACTGTTGTGATAGAAACGTCTCTGCAATCGCTGTAAAGCTGCTCCCTGTGTGATTTGGCCCTTCCGAATCACACAACGCCCCCAGCTCCAGTTGAACTTGGCACATCCAAAACTCCTCTGCTTCATTAAAAAACCTGCCACGGTGGAGGGCCTCCCGCACCAGCTCTCGTGCAGGACCACCAAGGATGATGCTGGACCGCGCCAGACGATCCTTCACGATTTCCTGAAAAAATACCGAAGGTGGTAGCCGGGTCGCTAAGGCTGCAACCACTTCTGGACAGCGCAATGCTGTCGTCACAGTTTCTGGTGTCAATGAGTGAGAAACTTTACCAAAATAAAGTGTAGGCCACTCGCCCAATACCTGCAATGCAACTTCGCACGACGGAGCTCGAAGAAGCAAGCGTGTAAGCAGCAGTTGTTTTGTGACGACGGTGGGAAGAGTGCGCCTCTCCGCTTCTGGCAAATCATTGTGAGATGTACTTGTCCACGCTGTAAGTAAACGACGACATAGTGCAAAGTCTGCTATGCGTGTAGTTGCCTCTGTGAGGCGATGGTAGATCTCCTGGTTCTCATACAACTGCATTTCATGTGCACACGATTGGAGGCCAGAAGTGAGACCGACGAAATGCAACACCTCCAGACTGCTCTCCTCCAACTCGGGGCGCATCAAGAGAGGATTGGTGTCGATGTCATGTTCTTCGAATTCAATGCCAGACTCCTTATACGTGGCACATTCTGGTGTCTTGGACACCTTGCAGCCCTCACCAGCAACATCAGAGGAGGGAAGAGGTGGTGAAAGTAGACCTGTCAGAATACGCTGTGCCTCTGTTGTTCCTTTTAATGTGTCCCAGAACGATTCCCAACGTACCAGTAATGCGTCCATCAAAAGCACCATGGAAGGTGTTTCTACACAGGCTCGGTAGTATGCATCATGATTAACGGCGGCGAGCAAAGCAACTGTATCACTCCGCGAGCGCACCCTGGAAAGATCCTTCAAGTACGGTTCAATAAGGTTGTAGAAATGCATATTGTGAATTGTTCGCAATGCATCTATCCATCTCTCCTTGCGGATATTGTGTCGCAGAGATATATTGATAATGGCACAGGGAGCGGTAAGTGCAGGGAATGCATCGAAGAAAGGAGGTGACAGCTTAAGTGAGGTGTTTTCACCGCCACTACCGATATTGTTGTCATTATTTACCCCACCGGATTCGCAGCTCCCTGATTTCCGTGCCACAGGGGAATCAGTGACCTGTAAAATGAAACGGAGTCGATGGTAGAGCGGGCGCAGAGTTCCTTGATGCTGGATGCTGGACATGAGGAAAGCCAAAGGAGATGGTGGTCTTTGCGACGCCCCTTCCCTTCGCGTCTCGGTAGGCGTACGCGCGTCATTCGTCACACAAAATGGTCCATCCGCGTCATTAAGTCTCAGCGAATAAAACGGGTGTATCATCTCCCATGTTGGCGCGCATCCACCCGTGCATCCGTCTGCCGCATCTCGCAATGAAAGATAAAGAGACATTACAGCCTCATCCGAAACGGGAAGACGCCGTTTGCGTAAAAATTCATAACATGACAGTGCTGACTCCCACGAGTGCATCCTCGCACAAAGGAGCTCGGTGGTTGATATACACCACGGTACTTTCGCAGTGTCCACCCTACACCCTCGTGCAGCCCCAGACCTTTTTACTGGAATACCAAAAAGCGATGATCCTCTTTGTGGTAGGTGTGACGGTGTTGATGGTGGCAAGAGCCTAATTGGCATTTATTGGCATGAAGTATTCGCTGTCTATTTCCTGTTCTTTGTTTTGAAGCAGAAATTCTTTTCTTCAGAAGCACACACACGCACACAGAGACACACAACTCAACACTATAGGCGTCAGAATATGGTTATGACGTTTCCCGTACTTCACACTGGGAAGGAGCCCTCCATACGCAAGATAAAAATTGAGTATAAAGAAAAAAAAGAGGAGAAGAGTGTGTAACGGGCCCCCATGAGAGAAAAAAATTAAAGAAGCATACGAAAACTACAACGACTTCAAGCATTGCGACCAAAATGAGGAAATCTATTTCTTTGTAGAATTGTGCTTTTGTATGATGCGTGATAGGGTGTCATGGCCCGCTATTGCCTCTTCCATTCAAACGAGGGAATTTGACACGGTGCCCCAGGGAAATGGCAGCGTATACTTCAATAACAAAAGACACCGACGTACCTGTCCCGGCTTTTTCCCCTAACAACCAGTAGGAATGCAGTAAAAAGCCTACTGATTTTTTTTATTTTCCTTACATGTCTTCTTTTCTTTCCCACAGTTCAGTACCGCCTTTGTATTCTTCCTATACTGCAGAATCTGGATGATGATCGCTACGTTCAGTCCCACTGAGATGCTGAACTGCGTCAACATCACGTGTCTTCCCTTCTCAACTGGTACGTTGTGGAAAGTCGTCAGCAACCTTGAAATTCCACCCATCATAGCCAAGTAGAACGTGGCAAACGACAGTTGCCCTGTTGATTCATTCCGATAATTCATAATGATCTGAGGTACACGACTACTCATCCCGAAGAGGATCTGCACACTCAACAGCCACTCGTGAAGATCCCGATCAAGAAATCCAGTCGACATGGCAGCGAGTGCCGTCGCTTCTGCAAGAAACACTGACATGGCATACAGCAGGTTATTCTGGAGATAGCCAACCAGCAGCAACAGCAGAGCCATCTCCAGCATGATGAACATGTTCTCGCCAAAGTCTTTGAACTGTAGCGCTTGAGCAATACCCCAGCTCGTGGTAATCACGTATGAAGTCAACTCAAAGCAAAGCGATGCAAGGGAAATACCAGCCGCACTACGGTGTTGTAGAACCTTCACAATCTGTGGAACCTTCAGCATCACAGAGCCAAAGACCACGCCATAGGGAAGAATGTGGCCGATAAAATAGCGCATAAAAACGACAATAGGATCATCTTCTTCCCTGCCAACAGCAGCAGCAGCAGCAGCAGACGCAATAATTTTCGGTTCACCTTCAGATGCCATATTGATGTGTGTCTCCTTTTACGTTTAGCAAAAAAAAAATATCTGGTCGCTATACGAACGAGAGAGTACCTTTCACTTTGTCTTCAATATTCACGTTTGGAGAATAAAATAAAACTCTTATCAATCCAATCCCCAACACATCAAAAATAAACAAAAGGAATGAAAGATTCACGAAGACAAACTTATAGAGAGACGCAAGCTCCTCCTAATGTCATATGAAGAGCCAACAACATTTAATAGCCCGCAAACAGGAAGGCAATCAAAGCTCTGAAAAATCAACCGCCTCGTTCATCATTCGCAAGGCGGACATCATGCTGCGCACCAGAGACGGTGCATCATGATAGAAATGGAGGTATGATGGATCAATATTCATACCTTGGTTGAAAATTGGCATGACGCTACCATTGTGGGGAAACAAGAAGAAAACTCGAGGGAAGTATTCACCCTGTCCAGCAAATGTCTCTCTCATAACGTTTGCCTTTCCCTTTTTTAATTCCTTCCTTTTACGGTCCCTGCGTCGAAACGAAAAATTGCCACCAATGCGCGGTTGAGGATACGGGTAATGTCTAATTGTGTCATCTAGTGTTTTGGCAGACACCAAAGTCATGTATTCAGACAAAAGCTCAAATTCCGCACTTTTGCCTACGTCGTCCAACAACTCCTGGCATGCAGGGCAACCATTTTGGTGGAACAACAGCATAATAGGCAAATGGCACATCTTATTAGAAGATGCGGAACGAGATGTTGCCAAAAAATGCCACACAGCATCCTCGCCTACAGTATGGGTCTTGACATCCTGTCCAATTGAATAATAGGAAGAGCTGCCCTTTAGCAAGGTGCACTGGGCTCTGGTGACGCTGTGAACCAGTTGATTCCACTTTATCCACGGAATGTGCCTTGTATATTGCCTTAGCAGATCCTTCTGGATGTCTTCACCATCTCTGGTGTACCACCTGTAATGATCTCGCGATCCGCCCTTAGAGTTACTTTCCGCCACACTCACCAAAGAGGTGCACCAAAGTAACCCGAAATACAACCATAACAAGAGCAAGCGTTGCATAAGCAACGAACGTTCCTCTTGAAAACAACCCTAAGCTAATAGTATGACCAAAAAAAAACCAAAAATGTTCTGGCAAAAACCCAAGCACAACAAAAACCACAACCCAAGGAGAATACACAGAGTCATGAAACCGCAGATATTTGTGCGCTAGTAAGACATATTGCATTTTGTTTCTTTTTTTTTTTTTTCATCCCTTGAGCATAATCGCATTTTGCATGTTCCCTCTATTCTCATTACCTTTCATTCTTCAAGATGGTAGCGAAAACACAGCTAGGTCCAGGCAGAAAAAAACGTATCATGGTAAAGACAGCGCACAAAGAGGACCATATTCGTTTCCATCTCACCCACGTTTTTGTCTTAAAATCCTCTCAAACACCGAAATCTACGAACGGTGCTGTCTTTGCTATCGCAAACAAAAAAGCTGCGCAAGTGAAGAAAGAAGAAATGAGTCGGATATTCAGGAAAACGTGTGAAGCACTACGACGGCACAACAATGAAAGAATTCCAAGAGATCTGCAATGAACAACCGCTATAATTTTGTTCCTCATCATTTTCCAAAGATGAAATCAGGACCGCTGTGGGGTCCTTGATTTATTCATATCTTTTTGCAAAAATCTGTTTTCTGTTATCTAAAAGCATGGCTCTTTATTCTTCCCTGTAACACCCACACCCACACGCATTGGTCAGTCAGACTGTGTCAAAAAAGGATGAGAGAGAAGATCCTTGCTTCTAGGACGCTTTTTGTGATCAAGAGTCAAACACGCCTCCACAAATGACAAAAATGCGGTATCGGTGACGTTATGAGCGGCTAATTTCTGTCGCAGTGCGGTGTAAGGTCTCTCATAAACGGACACTTCTTCTTTCTTCTCCGCATCGCCACCAACGCCTTCATCGTTCTCGGCATTCCTATGCTTTTCATTATTGGTCTCCTTTGATGGGGGTACCGGAGTATACAAATAGTAATAGGATGAATCCTCTACGGAATCATCACCATCTTTGTTGCCTTGCTCATACATACAACCAAACTTATTAATAAATTTGGCAGTATGTCGACCTTCCCACAATAATCGCCTGGGAAGTGGTTGTCCACAGATGTAGACAATGCGAGCAAGCATCTCAGGAACAGTCTCAGAAGTAAAAAGAACTTCTCCAGTCACAAGCTCTACTAAAATGGCACCGAGGGACCACACATCAATCCTTCCATCGTAGTCGCATCCTAGAATAACTTCAGGAGCACGGTAACTGCGACTCTGAATATATGAGCTTAGGTGATCACTCAAAAAGCAACTGCTCCCAAAGTCAATGACTTTTATTACACAACGGCGATGTGAAACAAATAGTATGTTCTCCGGTTTCAGATCTGCATGAATAAGGTTTAGACTATGAACGTACTTAAGAGCCTCAACAATTTGTCGTGCGATACGGCGAAGACGAGGGATAGTAAAATAAAAAGTGTCCTCTTCCTCACGGTTGTACTTTGAATATTCGTAAAGGTTGTCAGAAAGCAGCTCCGTTACAAGCATAGTGTGTTCCTTGTAGTAGAAGCAGTCGATGAGACGAACAACATGGGCCTTATCAGGGTCTTTGTACTTATTGATCAGAGTCAGCAAACGAATCTCGTCAAGTGACTGATCAAAGAAATCCTTTGAATTGTTGATAATCTTGAGGCACACTTCAGCATAGCCAATAATTTTCCTCTTTTTATCACCAGAATCGTTTTTATTGGCTTCGGAATCGCTGTCATGTTTATGTTTGGTGCCAGAGAGGTCTTCTTCCTCTTCTTCTTCATCATCATCGTAAATAGGCTGATGCAAATCGTAGCAACGCACAGCCCGGCTAAATGTTGCCTTCCCTAGCAACTCTATGATTTGATAACGATCTGCAACAATTACACCGCGCTCGATAGGAAACACCTTTTCCTCTTCGAATCCTGTTTTAAACGGATCCATAATCACTCGAAGATTGAATGAACCCATTGTCACAGGTGCCTTTCCCTCACTGGCGAGACGGCGAAACTCGTGGCGACGTTCTTCGCGGGCCTGCACTGCATCAAAAACCGCTTGCCGTTCCAACTCCACAACAAACTCAAAAGGAGACGTTGGTTTAAAGGCGCATCGGTCTTCTTCCGTTGTGGCACACTCCTTGTAATTGTAGTTCACCAAGTCCTCCTTAGTAAGATGTACCGGTTTAATTGAAGATAGCAATCCTCTACGATGAATGGTGTCGTTGAACATTTTGCTCAACAAGGAAGCCTGCTCCTCAGTAATGCCACCTCCGAATGGAAATGAAGGAACACGGAAGACCTTCTTCGTTCCAGCCTTACCATTGTTCTCTTTGTTATCATCCTCTGCATCATCGTCTTCGCTACCGTCCTCAACCACATCTTCTGTATCAAGACAAAGACGCATTGGTTCAGGTTGCCAAGTGCATCCGCTTATCTCTTGATAGAGCGTGGGGTCTACTGCTTTAAAAACAACCTGCGTCTTAACGCCATCGTAGATATTGTCGTCAGAATCTGCGGAACAGTCTACAGCAGTCGCACGTGCATTTGACGGTCTTTTACTTCGATGTGGACGATGGAGGTCTTCAACAGCAACACCGTTATCGTCTTCGTTGTCAACCTCATGTGTAGAGGCGTTTTCCATGTTATCCAACTCATCTTCGTATAAACGGCGTTCATCAGTTTCTGTTTTCTTTGTCTGTCTCCCGATGGAAACGTGTTGAGCTGAAATACCACTACACATTGGATCTTCTTCTTCAGGCTTCCCTGATAAGGGAAAACCATGAATTGGATCCTTATAAACTTGAAGCCCTGTTGACTGCATCGGCCGCTTTACAGCGGGTGCTGCGGATTCGAGTGCACTCAAAAGTGTCTCATATGATTTTGAACCGTCTCCGTTACGAGTCTTTTGTCGAACAGCCTCAGTAGTCTCTAGCATTGACTTCGCGAGTGCCTTCAATTCTTCTATTATGTTATCAGTGGACACATCGCGTTGGTCTATAGGTTCTGCTGCATCCATGCCTTCCATACCTCAACTTCTGTTTAGGGGAAACGGCGAGAAGAAAAAAAATTACGCCAAAAAACAAGCCCACAAAATTACAACACAGCCCGTTAGCAAAACAAACAACGAAACAAAAAAAGCAATGCGTTCAAAAAAAAAAAAAGAATTAGAAACAAAAAAAACTTCAAAACAAAAAAAAAGATTATTGATTACTAAAAAAAACCTTTGGGAAACCTCTGCCCACCTTCGGGAAAAACCGCACAACACACACACCACCATGCGACTTT